CTGACGTTGTGTCCTTGGGAAAGGCACTTTACACGAATTTTCCTCACTTCACCCAGGTGGGAATGGGTACCCGGCTATAGACAGCGAAAGATCTTGTCAGCTTGTTAGTGTTTGAGCGCTTAATCGGCTGCTTGCACTGTATGCTTCCCGGGAAGCTGAGAATGTTTCGGAGTGTTCTATGGTCTGCTGGGGTAATAATATAGTGTAAAGGCATAGAGCCTGCTGTTGAGCGGGGATATGCGCTATACAAATGCTATCTATTATTATTATTTTAACCTTTTGTATTCTGACCGAGCATAAAGTATGTTGGTATGTGAGTTGGACTGTCAGTGTGTTGTGAGTACGATGTCATTTTGTCAATCTGTATAGTGTCAGTGTGTCATGAGAATTGGGTTAGTGTGTAATGAGCATACTGTCAGTATGCCGTGAGTGTGCTGTCAGTGTGTTGTGTGCATCCTCTCAGTGTGTTGTGTACATCCTCTCAGTGTGTCATGAGTGGAATATTGTCAGTGTGTCACGAGTGTACTGTCAGTGTGATATACTGCCATTGTGCTATGAGTAAACTGTTAGTGTGTTGTGTGTATCCAGTCAGTGTGCCATGAGTGGAACACTGTCAGTGTGCTAATCCGTCCTTGTGTCGTGAGTTTGTCGTGAGTATACTGTCGGTGTGGTGGGAACATGCAGCCTCTGTGTCACTGGTAATGTTCGTTTATTGCTTTGCTTTTATTTGCAAGATATATTTCTGTCCATTGTGCCTGAGTGATTGGTCGTACACTGTGAAATTTTAGTGGTATGTTTTGAGAATGTGAAATTCGTCATAGTTTCAAGAAAAATAATCGAATCCATTCATAGCTTTTTTTTTTCTTTTCATTTTTTTTCACTCTGTAAAACAGGGTCAAATCAGGAAACTTATTAATTTTTTCTTTCGACAGCAACAGCAACGTTATTAAAAAAAACAAAAAAACAATGAATGTTCGAATAACTATCTAGGACAAAAAGGGCGTGTGGAAGAGAATTGTTAGCGTGTCTGTGTCGAAGTTCTGATAAAAGAAAGGCATTCACTGTATCATGGACTAATAAATACAACGAGAGAAAAAGTTGTTGTTTTTATTATTGTTGTTGTTGTTGCTGCTGCTGCTGCTGCTGCTGTTGCTGTTGTTGCTGATGATCATGATGGTGTTGCTGTTTTGTTTTGTTGTTTTCTGTCTTTTTCTAATGTTGTAGTTTTCTTCTTTTCTTACTTTACTTTTTTCCATCTGTCATTCCTCTGAAAACAGACAGTTAATGGTTTGATGGAGGTGATTCTTTGTTTACTCTCTAACTCTAAGCGCTGCATTGTTCCCCCAGTCTTTCAGGGCCTGTGCAAACTTGAGCTCATTGGGGTCAGGTGCTGATGTTTTATTGTGTTATTAAGAGTTTTGCGGCACTTGCAACACAATTATATCTTATAAGTGCCGAAGATTAGCGATGTCACATGAGTTATAAACATAAAAATAAAGGAGGAGAGATAAGGACAATCGACGTTTGATAGAAAAGAGGGGGAGAACCACAACAGATTGCCCGCAAACCACTCACTAACCTGCTTTTGGCCTGTACATGTACAAAGGTATAGGTAGGAATATTTTAAAATCCATATGACTACTTCAACAATGTTAACACTGTTGTGCATCTTGACCCCCTAAGCTGGTATCCACAAAGGAAAAAGGAAGAGGCCAACCAAAGAACACATGGTGCTGAGGCGTGGCAGGGGTTACAAGTACGAGGAGGTTGTGAAGCACACATAGGACAGCTAGAGAATCTGGCCCAAGATCAAGATGCGTGGAGAGCTGGTTGTCGGCGGCTCCGGGGGGAACCACGGGCATTGATGACGATAAAAAATGACGATGCAAATTGTTGTTTAATTCCAGAAGCTGTCAATCGTTGTTTAAGAGGAATACATAAAATGTGCTTATTTTGTGTACTATGAGCGACCGCCAAGGTAGATATTGCGTCGCCTCAGAACTGTTCTGTCCAAAGTGCCTCTTTACGTCATTTCGACA